AATTTGTGTCCTGAAATTCAAACCAACCACTTAGTTAACGTTTGATAACACTTTTTTGTAATTATTAATTTTTTTGAAAGATATAATTCTCTCAAAAAAGTAAAACCATATGTTATTACTATGTGCATCATGCTATATAGCTAATACATACACTTGTATGAAAGCATATATATACTGTTATGCATGAGATTAAAGTTAGAGAAAATGAACAAATTCAAATGAAGAAAAATAAAACAAACAATACTTTAAAACGTGCTTAAAAAATAAGAAACTTTTTTTTTTTTTATTAAAAAAAATTATCAAACAGTACACTAATTCTTCAATAGTTCAAATATTCGTACTTACTTTTATCATACAGGTAACAGGTCAGTTAAAAAATATTATTATTCATATTTCATTATTAGAAAGGAAAAAAAAAATGTGTCTTATCCCTGTCAAGTCCCAACTGTGAGAATATTTTAGGTTTAAATGTAAATTGTTTTCGGTGCATGTTCTTTCCCATCAACCTGTTGTTGCTTGTCGGGAATGTTTGATTCCAAATGTTTTGTTCTTTTCTCTTTTTTCAGGACAACAAACTATAGCCACACATTTATAAAGTATACTTTTTAAAAGGTTAGGTTGTAAAGTAGGAACATCTCCTTAAAATCCTTCTGATCTGAATTTTACTATTTTTTTTTCTGAATATTGTACGTGACATTAAAACTATTTAATTATTAATCCAAAGCTGGAGAAGTGTTTATATTGCGTTTTTTTGTATTCATTTCTATCTCTATTTTCATTTTTGCTTTTTTGTTGTGGCGTCTTCTCTAGGTAATTATAGTTAGGGACTTGACTATGGTACAACTAAAAAAAATTTCGATGTCATACCTCTAAAATTTACTACTTCAAATGATATTTTTATAATTTTTATGGGTCATTTTACAACCAAAATATTTATTATTTTTGTGGTTAATTTGTCACTTTTGTGAATGTTTTTATCACTTTTGTAGGTATTTTCACCACATTTGTGGTAATTATTTTTACCACGTTTTTTTAACTACAAAAAAATTATCATTTATGTGGGTGATTTACTATATTTGTGGATATTTTTACAATATTTATGAATATTTTTACCATTGTTGTGGTAAATATTTTTACTATTGTTTTGGATACCACAACAGTGATAAAATTACTCACAAAATGTGTTAAATCTCTATGATACCAAAATTTTGAATTTTGGTACCATAGTCATCTCCTATAGTCGGTGGTTATAATCATTTCCTTCTTTTGGCCGAGGAAAATAAGAGAGAAAGAAAGAATGATCAAAATCAAAAGACAATAAATAAAGAGGACGTTAAGCGTAAAATATGTTATTAAACCCTCTTTAATCTAACAGAATAAACTTTTAAATCGTGATGATAATTTAACATTATATTAAAATAGGAAATTATGTATTGGAATTTCACAATTACTATGAAAATTAAAGGGCTTTAGGTTTATTTGATTGAAAATCTTATCTATATGAGAGAGAACTTGTTATATTGCACTCTTCATACCACTTAAACTTTTAGATTATATAGTAAGTAACTTGGTTTTTAAGCTAGAAGGGATAGACAGTTAGACACCCTCTAAGAAATAAAGGATAGAAGTTAGATTGACGGAAGAGAAGGAGAAAAAATTACAGAAACCTACAACGGTAACAAAAAATATTACAAATTTTAATGACCCACACGTAAAATTTCTTCTTTAATCTTTAGATCTCTCTTTTTCTCTCTCTCTCTCTCACTCTATCTGTGTGTGTGTGTGCATGCCCAAGGGCCCTTGTGACGAACATAATATGAGCTAACCAATATTAGATATATACTTGCGTTACACTAAATTTTTGGAGCAAAATGTTGTTTAACATGATATCAAAGTCTAGAAGTCCCTGAGTTTAAATCTCATCAAGCTTTCTCTTCACCAAAAATAAAAATAAAAAATAAAAACAATCATATGGATGAACCACCCAAAGAGGACCACACGTGAAGGAGAGTATTAGATAAACACTTATGTTATATACTTTTTAAAAATTTAAATTTTTGAAATAGAAGATTGTTTAATAACTTATACATGCAATGAAGGCAAAGTTGGGTTTGTGTGTGTGCGCGTAGAAGGAGGAGAACATCACCCAAAAAAACGTACTTGGCTGGGTGCTTTGCAGGATCAGTAGAAGGAGGAGAAACATTATTTTCCTTCATCTTCTCCACCTGATTCACGTGTGAATTCTTGGACGAAAGGTTAAGCTTTAGATCAACAGTCTCTGAGAACCCTCTTTTCCCACTATTATTCTTTGATATTTCGCCATCATTTCCACTTCCACCAGGCAACCCAAGGCGCAACTCTGTCTCTTCGTAATTGAACCGATACTCATCGCCATCTGCAGCACCCATAATTATGGTAATTTCACCTCAAACTTACGTTAAAAATGTTCCCAACTATCAAACCTAATCTCTCTCTCTCTCTTTGATGTTGTTGGTGTTGATGATGGTGGAGGAGGAACTGGTTGTGGTGTGAGGTTAAGTTTTAGCTATGGCTGGGGGAGTGTAGGCAGTACGAAGAAGGTAATTTAGTCTTGAATGTATGATTAAATAAGAGAAGGATATGTTGGCTAACATGACTGTGGACAATGAGGATGGTTCCACGTGGAAGATATGATTGGTTGGATGATCCGGAGTTTGTCGGGAAGGTTTCGTAATGAATGACGTCATTAGTTGTATTATTGGGTAGATGCTAGTGGGCAGACCAATTGGCTTGGCTTTGTTCGCCTTTATAGCAATAATTTCTCCGACATAATCAAAATAATGTGGGGATGTCACGGTAACGAAATAATTTTTTTACTATCTTATTATATTTTTTGATTAATAAAAACATATAATACTTAATTTTATTGTTTTTTAATTAACTATTATAAGCCATTCAATTTAAAAATAATGATATAGACCCTTTTTCGGCACGATACCATTCCTTTACCCTAATAATGTAGATAGAATAAATTTTATTTTGAAAAATTATAATTCATCTTAATTGTCATGAATTCGCTAAATAAGTTTTTAAATATGAAAATTTTAACATAAACTTGTAAATATGTTTTTATATTTAAAATGTTGAATTTAAACTATGCTCTCATATAAAAATATGATAAAATAAGAATAAAGTTTAGAGTAATGCAATTGGTACTTAAATTTTAACATAATTTATTAGTTTAATAATGTGGCAGCTAACATGGATCAATTATACTGTATGACTTTTTTATTAGGATTTTATCACTTGCAGGTTAAGATTTTAGTGTGAAAATATAATTTTTTGATATTACTTTTTTTTTTTGCTAATTATAAAATGACAAGTGCATAATTTTATTATTTAATTTTTATTATCAATGACTAAACAAATAATTTATCACAAGATTTATGATCAAAAATTATTTTTTAGTATAATATTAAAAAGAAAAATATAGGTACAATAGATTTATTCAACACTAAAGATAATATTAGGTCAAATTATTTGGTCAATTTTTTAATTCTTCAAAATAGTAGCTCAAGTTTGAAAATGAATCTATGTGGATAAAAAATTCTTAGCTTTGGCATGCATTTCTCCCGTGAAAGTTCGAGGAATGAAATTGAGTGGTGACAAAAGTGGGGCCATGGGCCCACAAAAATGAAACGGAGTCAAACCAGAGAAAAAGCAGGTGCTGAGCTTTATTGGAGCAGAGGGTACGGGCATTGGGCCCCACCCACCCAACCCACCATGTGCAGATGCGACATGTTGGGCGTGCCACCTTTAGCCTTCAACGCTCTCCTATGTGTGGCGTCCCATCCCATGGCATCCCAACTTGGGATTCCCAAGTTCTTGTGGTAAGGCTACCCGTACCCGACTTTATTGTTACAACTTGATCATTTTTAGTCATTAATTTTAAATGGTATAATTTATAATTATTAAATAAAAAAATATACTAAAACTTTTATATTTGACATTTTTTATTAGTTCAAAAATTAAAAAAAATGAGACTAAAATTTGTTGTTTGATACCTTAAAGAAACTCTAAATTCTTGTTATGGACTTCAGAGAGCCAGGGTAAGAAAAATGTTTCTTTGACCCCACCTTGATTTATTCAATCAACTATTGAGTTTTTTATATTAACTCTTTAACTATTTAAATTTATTTTACTTTAATTAAACACAAATAACCAGCACGCATTTACATTGGCCAATGCAATTTAAACAAAAAATCAAATATTCTTGATATTTTAAATTTTATCAAAATTCATCCCCACTAAAAGAAAACTGTACATATTTATGGGTACTTTTGTAGTTAAATAATATTTTTGAGATGTAAAAAGATAATATATTTCGTTGACCGAATGAGGTGAGTCTTCTTCAATCTGGTTAGAGTTGTAGTTAGAGTAATGTAATACCATGTGAATTGTTACATCATTTGATTAGTAAATTAGGTTAAATTTCTCCCTCTTCAATCTCCATTTTGTCTACAAATCCCAATATTACTTACATACAAAGTGGTCATCACTCAAAATATATTTACGAAATAACGACTTGTTTTCATAATTTTCATTTAGTTGTCCTCTTAATATTACTCTATCGACTTCCTTACTTTTACATCCTCTTCTCTATTTTATTTTTAAACATGGACTGAAATCGGACATAAATTTTCACACTTGTAATTATTTATGATGCTCGAAATTAACTAAATCGGGTTACAAAATAGATTTGGGTGAAGTCCAGCGAGTGTGTGGGTATCTAGGTGAACGTGAGTGGAGTTATATGCTATATGTATTCTGCAAATGAAAGACAAAACATAAGTAATTCGTCTTAGTCGAAAAACTAAAGTTATGTCCACTGTAAAGGAGACTCTTGCTCCGTGGGAATTATATTTTTTAGAGAAGAAGATTGCTATTACAAGATATTTGGCTTGAGACCTTTACAAGACGTTGCCTAGGTTTTACTTGGTGGCTTATAAGATGACTCTCTCGTGCACTGTAGCCCTATTGGCTATTTATACAATTGATAGTTTGGATTTCGTGTTGATCCTTTTTGGATGATTTTGTGGTCCCTTCTGCACTAGAGCTGTGGTCCCCAAAGCCTTTCTACACCCACTGGTCACCGACTATAGTACTTGATTCGTTTTCACTACCAGTGAGATTTTGTTCATTAGAGTTGCCAGGTAATGTTCCCTTGTCCCTTGTCCACGTGTCATGCTGCAACTTTTGCAAACTAGCCCTGTGGTGGGCTCTTGAGTTTTGAGCATGTTATCATGCCGGGCTTGTTTGTCTATGCTTCCCTGCAACCGATTTGTGGCCCAATTCGTGCTCAGGAGAGTTTGTTTGGGTGAGTTACTTAGGTCGCTTTTTGCAAGCCCAAAGGTTCTTGGGCTCTAAAGGGGTCCAGACTTTAACCAATCATTATCAATTGCACCCCAGTCCCAGGTCAGGGGGATGACCTTCAAGCTCCATCCTGGGGTTAAATTTGACTTTTCTACCGCAATGATTACTCTAAGGATGAAAATTCCTTATGATCACTAAGAGTAAGAGATTGCCGAAAGCTATGAAGATTAGATTTGAGAGTAAGATATTGTTGGAGCTGAGCTTGACGGGATCACTTTTGCTTCTTTTCCAACTACGCTCTCTAAAGGAGTAAAGACTGCAAAGGATCCTCTTGAAATGGATATCAGGGGTAGTGGGTTCCTTCACAATCCTAAAGTAACTATGGATGCGCTAACTGACTTGGTACCTACCATGGCCCCGAAGGAAGTGATGAAGATTAGCTTTAAGAGTAAGACCAAGCACATCATTTAGATTTTGGCTGAGGTATTGTGTCCTTTTTCTTGCTTCCTTGAGCACGACATTCGGGCTCTTTTTTTAATTTTTTTTACGGTATGTGTTTTTGCTACTAGGCCACCACCAGCATGTGTCGAGTATGCTAGTAGGTCAATCCTCTGAGCAGGTTACCCTCCGCTCTAAACTTGAGAAGCTCTAGCTTGCCAAACAACAGCTAAGGAAGGACCTTGGTTGCTGAATGCTACGAATGTGGCTAAGGCAGGTAAAGGCTTGGTCGAGGAGACGAAAACTGTCTTTAACGCTGAGTTGGCAAAGATGAAGAGGGCCAACGCTGCACTGGATAACCGTCTTTAGAATGCTGGCAATTTCATCAAAAGGAAAGATGTCGAGCTGAAGGCAAATAAAGAGGAGCTGAAGGTGAAGGAAGAGGAGTTAAAGGAAAAAAATGGAGGGATTGAAAGCCAAAGATGGGAAGATTGCATAACTCCTCGATGTGAATGCCTCCGCCTTCGTGCAAGGGTTCATGAACTTTTAGGAACAGGTTGAGAGGAAGTACCCCGACCTGGATCTGGACTCCTTAGTGTTGGAATTTGAGGCGTCAAAACCTAAGGAGCCTACAGAAAGGTCTAGAGCTGAGCATACTGAAGAGGCAAATCGCCTTGAGCTCGTTGCATAGTTCTTGTCTATAGGGTGTTGAATTTTATTAGGATCTGTAATCGAATACCTATAGTTTGGACTTGCAGAAAAACTTATGCTCCTTTTAACTTTGGCTTTACTCTTTGCTTTTAATGCCCTTTCTCAACAAAACTTATATTCCTTTTAATTTTGGATTTACTCTCTGCTTTTAATGCCCCTTCTCACTGCTCTTTCATTTTAAATGATTTTGTGTGCCTGCCTATTTTTCACCTCTCTCTTTCCCCTCCTTTTTTTTTGTTGCACCTTCCACAGCTCTTAATCTTGGAGGGACAAGAAGGGTAGACTGTATTCCTCTAAGTTGCATGGAGCTTCGTTTATAGGTTTTAGGTTTTCATCTGGTAGTGGGGACTCCCATGTGCTGACTTGTTTGTTGATATCTTGCACATGGCTGAGCTGCTTAGAAAGTTTGCCTTGTCCCAACCTAATTAACTCACATCAAGCTTACCTACCTTAGTTGAGTCGCGCTCTTGGAGGGCTCTTCCTTACGAGCCCAAACATTTTACATTTAAAGTTCGAGTTGAGTATTTGTGGCTGAGCCGTTTAGGGTTACTAGGGTCATTTTAGATCTTTTACCTTGTCTTTTTGTATTCCCCAAGTTTGGCGATTTTCTTCAGTTGAGGTTGTGTGCCCATGATGACGAAGATGCCTCCTTGAAAGTAGTGCCCAGTCCCCACGTTTTGCAACACTTGGCAGACGCATTTAATGCGATGGACAGGTACTCATTACGCCTTTCTGGAGGGATTTGTACTGCCAAAAATCCCTTTAAAATTGTACATCTTCTTTGTTGGCTTTCACCGCTTTCGTTTGAGTATCTTCTACTTCATTCACTAGAAAAATTTTCATTCCGATTTTCTGGACCCTTTTCTCCAGTTCTCACTATGTCTCAACTTTCTATTTCTGGGTATGACGCCCAGTGAGAAACCTTTCCTTATGTTGAATTTAGTGAGATAGATGCGGCAAAAGCCCGCATATTGCCAGGCCATTATAATTTTCCTGCGAGGGTATCGGTTCATGCTACTTGTAGCGATCTTTACCACCGGTCTTTGAATTAGAGGGTTTGCTTCTTTGAGGTTCCCATCCAATTGGGCCTTAGGTTTCTCTTTCCTCCTTTTTGTGACAGAGGTTTTACATTTCTTTAATTTCTGTTCTACCATGCTATTGTCGGCGGGTTGGGTCCTTTTGGTGTTCTCGATCATGTGGGCACGTTTGTTCAGGTAGCCACAAGTTCTTTGTAGGGAGAAGAGTATGTGAAACTCCTATCTCCGGCCTTCTTCCCGAACTTGAAGGTTGGAGGTGGAGGTTTTTCTTTATATCTAGAACAGGCTGATAGTTTGCTTCTTAGGTTACCTCGTTGGTTCACATACCCATGGTCTGGGGATCACGTGTTTATCTTGGTGAGTTTTCTTATACTGAGTTGCTCATTGTTTGCATCTATGGTTTTAACTTTGTCTTTTATTATCAGATGAATATCCAAACTTGTTCAGAGATGCATGAGCTCAGGTTAATCAATCTTGGGCTCATGGGCCTGTTTCTTATGTTGAGTTGATGGGGGCCGAACCGACTAGTATCTCGAGCAGTAAGTGCTTATTTTTCTTGCAAAGTCTATTTACCTTGTTTTTTGTGAGGCCTTCTTATTTTGCTTACTCTTTTGGCTTATTTTCTTAGCTCTTACGTATTTGGTCAACGGGAGTGATGTGATCATGGATTAAGTGAGCCAAAGGAGGTCGGCATGGGGTCTTGAGTCTTCGACTAAGAGAATGAAGGTTGCTAAAGATCGTCCCATGCAAAGCTCTCAGGTCCAAACCTCGACCTTGTCGTTTTCCAGAGAGGTCACTACTAGGGTCGTGTCCATTAATAGAGCCAAGTTAAGCTTAACTATGAGGGGTTCATACTCGAAAGAAAAAAATATGAGTGGTTCGCCTTAACCGATAGACTAAAGTTACGTCCACTGTAAGGGAGATTCTTGCTCATCGAGGATTATATTGCTTGGGAAAAAAAGGTTACTATTACAGGATTTTTGGCATGAAACCTTTACAAGACATTGCCTAGGTTTTACTTGGTAGCTTATAGGATGGCTCTCTCATGCATTGTAGCCCTGTTGGTTATTTATACAACTAGTAGTTAGGGTTTTGTGTTTGTTCTTTTTGTTTGATTCTCTGGTCCCTTCTGCGTTTGTCTTTGTCCTAGAGCTATGGTCCTCAAAGCCTTTCTGCACCCATTACACGTTGATTGTAGTACTTGATTCATCTCCACTACTTGCGAGTTTTTGTCCATCTAACCCGTCAAGTAATGTTTCCTTGTCTCCTATCCACATGTTATGCTACAACTTTTGCAGACTAGCCCTCTGTCGGGCTCCTGAGTTTTGAGC